AAAGATGGTGTTTCGAGCCTTTGCATTCCATTTCTCATAGTTCACTTCATCGCCTTGAAGGTGCGTGGGATCCTGAGGTTTTGGGAATCCTTGTGAGGCGGCTCTAAGTATTCCAACATCTAGAGCTTCTAAGTATGCCTCCATGCGGATTTTACAATAAGAAAAATCACCCCCTCAAAGATAGGAGGATGTCCATCCTCGTGAGACATCTTTCTCTAGGTGGTTAAGCCTAAATACGTGAGCACGAGGCTCCGATACCAATTGAAAGGATCAAGATGCCCAAGAGATGGGGTGAATTGGGCTAATTCTAAAATTCTTTGCAATAATTAAACCCTACGATTAGCCCATTTCACCCCTTGTCCCTAGAAAGTGTATCTATTATTCTACCGCATAAAAGTTTAGCAACCTATGTTCCAATCCTACTCTAGCATGACAATTATATGAATGTAAAGATAAGAATTGAATTGCTCAAAGTAAATGCTTAAAGTAAAGAGAGAAAGAAGAACGCGACGATGTTTTACCGAGGTATCGGAGAGTCGCCACTCTCCACTAGTCCTCGTTGGAGCACCCGCGCAAGGGTGTAGCTCCCCTTGATCCGCGCAAGGATCAAGTGCTCTCTACGGGTTAATTCTTTGACACTTCGTCTCGATGAATCACCCACAACCGCTCATAACTTGAGTTGGGTCATCCACAAGATCCGCCGGATGATCACCAAGCTCCCAATCACCACCAAGCCGTCTAGGTGATGGCGATCACCAAGAGTAACAAGCATGAACTCTCACTTGACCACGACAAGCCTAATGAGAAGGATGGATGCACACTTTGCTACTCTTGCTTTCACTAATGAGGCCTCTCTCTTGGATTCTCAAATCTCAATCACCTCACTAGGATCTTGCTCTTCTTGGCACTCTCAAGGGTGTTTCTCAGCCGTTGGAATGAGCAAAAGTGATCCCTTGAGTGAATAGAGGAAGTATTTATAACCCCTTATTCAAAACGAACCGTTATGTGTCTCTGCGAGGTGATCGGACGCTCCGGTCAGTTCACCCGCCTCTGTGCAATTTAAGTTCTGACCGGACACTGACCAGCATCTGGTCAGCACTGACTGGACGCGTCCGGTCACGAAAACTACCCTCTAGAACCTTACTGATGTTGACCGAACTCTAGCACCCAGCGTCCGGTCAGTAGCCGGAACCTGACCAGCGTCTGGTCAGCACTGACCGAAGCGTCCGATCAGGATTCTCCCTCTCTGGAACTTTACTAGAGTCGATCGGACTCTGGCGCCCAGCGTCCTGTCATATTTCACTCAGCTTCCGGTCGCATCCAGACGACTTCACCTTGATCAAATAAACTGACTGGACTCTGCGCCAGCGTCCGGTCAACTTTTGACCCTCCATTCACTTTCAACTCGCAATTATATGTGAATAAAGTTTGCTCCAATTGATCTAAGGGCTTTTTAGGAGCTACCTAGTGCTAGATTTAACAAGTGTGCACTACACATAACCCACTAGACTCACCTAGGTCAAGCTACCCGTCCATACCCCCTTAATAGTATAGCCAAAGGAAAAACAAAGTCCTAAACTACTCTAAGTGTCTCTTTAACTCTAAACGACACTTAGAACTAGTCCATCATTAACCTTTTCGTCCATTCTTTGAAAACCGAAACGATTTCCATCGTAGGGGCATGACAACCATGATTGTCCAATCAATTGTCATTACTATGACCTAACTTAATTGCATCTGCAAAACACACGTTAGTCACAGTAATCTCATATTGTCATTAATCACCGAAACCCAACTAGAAACCTAGATGCTTTCAACTATCATATTAATGAAGCCATTACGCTAGAGGAGTGGTGGGAGTCATCACTGCAGGGACAAAGCTCTAGACAACATACAATGACTCTGGCCTTCTTCGTGTACGTAAGCTCTAGGCTGGAACATTTACTCCCTCCGTTCTAAATTATAAGTCGCTTCGACATTTTTTGTTCATCCATTTTATTATGTATCTAGATATATTATTATATATATATGTATAGTAAAATGGATGTACCAAAAAAGTTAAAGTTGAATCAAGTAGACGTGGGGGGCCGTTGGGTTGATTAGATGGGTAACAACCTTGTTTTGTGTGAATTGGTTATTACTATTTATGTAACAACATGATGTAAAATCTCTGCTACTTTTTAGATGAATGATATAGCAGTGCTCCAACCGGCCAGTCGAAAAAAAAAATTACAATTCTTGCCTGGCCAGTTGATGCATGTGTTCCTCTGAAAAAGGAAATTAGCAGTATAAACAGCTGTTGTAAATTCAGAGAGTGCAGTACGAGCATAAGATAGTATTTCCTGTGTATTTGAAAAATGGCCTAACTCAGTATCAACCTGTTCAGCTGAGGCTGAAACGATCGTGGATTATTACTGCTGACTGATTTGATGTGAGAGAAAAAATACTGTTCGACTAAAAATTTACGATCATTTACGACAAGCAAACAGCATGTATGTTTTACTGAAACCGTATGACCCAAAGTGCCATTCCAAGTTGCTGACGTATTGGAGAAGAAGCGTCTACGTGTTACTGACAACGGCCAATGCTTGGGTCAACACTTAGGGCCAGTTTGATGGCGAATTTTTTTGCAAAACGACACACTGTAGCGTTTTTTGTTGTTATTTGACAATTAGTGTCCAATCATAGTCTAATTAGGCTTAAAAGATTCATCTCGTGAATTTCGTCTAAACTGTGTAATTAGTTTTATTTTTTATTTATATTTAATATTTCATGCATACGTCCAAAGATTCGATGTGACGAAAAATCTTAAAATTTTTGGCAAAATGAAGTACAACTAAACAGGGCCTCGTGGTCTCGCACTGTTGCCCCATGCGCATCAATGCCGATCGGAGAACGACAAAAAAATCGGTGACTTGCGTAGTGCCACAACAACAGATCAAGCAATTTCCAATTTGGTCGGTCCTATCTGAAGTCTGAAAGCAACAAACAAGGGCCCAACTCCACAAATATCAGTCACTTGGAAGCAACTCAAAATCTGGCCCAGATAATTCTGGAGCACAGGTAGAACCTCACCAAGTGCATGGTTCAGAAAGGCAAATCTTGTTTCAGGCAGATGTTGTAACACCAATGTTCGATGGATTTCATTTTTGCAGGCACAAAACACCAAGAACTAATGCAGTCCCAACAAGCAAATTTAAAAGATGCAAGTACTACAAGATCACATGTTTGCCAAACTTGCACTGTCAACGGATTTCAAGCAACTGTGATTATAAACTACAAAGGCTACCCTACCACTCTGCACCTAATTCTGCTTGGATTGAAAGCCTGTTGAAACCATCGCAATCGCAAGAAGGGGTACCAATACCACACAGCAGCCGGGAGATGCAGGACCGGGCGATTAATAAGTCGGCTGAGCACATATCATGTTCACCAACCATCAACCAACCTAGTTCAGGGCCTGTTCAAATAAATCACCTACTTATAAGTTAAAAAATGAAATAAATAATTTATTTTACCAAACACCATCAACTTATAAGTCACCCCTACTTATAAGTTTTAAGTTGGTTCATCCCTGCTTAAAACTTATAAGTCACCCTTTTCCACGTGGAGCCCACACCTTTAATGAGCTTATAAATCATCTATAACCAAACAGACATGACTTATAAGTCACTGATTTTCAGTCACCTGCCTTATGGAAACCAAACAAGCCCTCAATCAGCAGTGGACCAAGATGCAAATTGAGGTGTCATATAATGCTTGACCTCAACAAGCAAGCGAAATTAATGATCTATGTAGGCCACCCTAGTTCTATGAAAAAGCAAGCAAAATTAATGAGCTATGATCCCCAACCCCATGTCATGAGTCTGAATAGTGAATAGCAAATGCAGCAAATTGTTGAGACCTGTTGCCAGTTGTTGGCACGTCGCCTGTTCGCTTGACTTATAAACCGTACTTTTTTCAGCCAACAAACAATATTTTTCTCTCATAACAAATCAGCCAACAGTACTTTCAACCATGACTTATCAGCCAAGCGAACATGGCACTATGCTTAATTTGTTTTATAGCCGAAAGCTTAGTACTGTAACATGCATGTGAAAATAGATATGTAAGACTTTCCTACCAATGTAACCATCTGCATGGCAAAGTGTATAGACTATATACATCTCAACTAAAATCTGAAAAAGAAATTCTAACAATAATTATCACCTGTAAAAATAATCCATACGACACGCCTACCAGTCCATGAATAAACAAAAAACTTCGCAAGAGAAAGACTCAACTCAACTCGTAGATTACAGTAAGCTCAATATATATCGAAAATAACCACCAAATTAACAATCTGCAGCAGTACATCTTTAGTCCCTAATCTACTAGGAGAACAAATAAATTTAGGCAACGGAGAAGAGAGGTAGTAAGGCAAGGCTGCCTATCTGTAGAACAAAAGTGTCTAAATAAATAATAGGGCAAAGCTCTCCAGCAAGCAGGTGCATATTTCCTAATCCATAAATACATCTCATTTGCTCTTCAGACCCAAAGTTAAAGAAGTGCAAGAAACCAGCATACACCTCCTTGAAAGCAACCGTAGACCAAACTCCAGTCTTTGCACCTTGCATTTGATCCCCTGTACAATATTCCAGAAAAAATAGAACATGAAAATGACCAAGTAGAACAACAAAATTGTTAGTTTTATTAGTTGCAAATATTCTCATCTTATTTTGACCAAAAGGAATAACACAGTTCCAGGTTAGTGGTAGCATATTCAAACAACAATTTTGTAGAATTCTATTTCATTAGTGTAAACAAAATAGATGTATTTAGTAGCCCATGGTCCATAATGCAAGATTGATGTTTGATTGCAACAAAAAGATCCCACACTTATCATCCGTTAAATGTAAACATAACATCCTTCTCAAGATGAACTCTTCTACCACAATGCAAGCTAAGAACAAGCACTTCTTTCACATGTAAGTGACAATGGTAGCAATAGCATGAATGGATCAAGAACCAACCAAATATGGGGAAGCCAGGATCAGATCTGGCACTCTAAGCCTGATTGTCGCTCTTGCGATCACCGTGCCCATCGCGCTCCTGCAAGAGCGACCCAGCCTCCTCATCAGCCTGGGCGGCTTTCTTCTGGGCCTCCTTAGCCTTGAGCGCCTGCAGCTTGACATGATTGTAGTATCCCACCCCAAAAATGCGATCCCGTACCCAAACAGGTTGATCGGAGTGACAGTGTCCCGGATCACGGACCACGAGAAGGCAATCAACAGCCAGTCCTTGACTACTCCAGCGACGTTCATGGTCAGCGCCGAGGTCTTGCCGACTAGCAGGAAGACGGCAAGGTTGAGCGCAAAGGCGCAGAGTGAGTTCGTCCCAAAGATGAAGAAATCCGGTTGGAAGGTGCCGACGGCGCGCAGCCTGGGCAGCTCGACGAAGGCCCAGGGCACGACGAGGAAGCAGAAGCAGCACGGCGCGACGTAGTAGAGCGAGGTGATAGGGTTGAGCGAGATGCCCTTGGATGTGAGCAGGATCTGGATGAGCACGAGCCGCGTGGCCTCGAAGGCGACGGCGGCGAGCTGCAGCGCGACCCCGCGCACGTCGAAGCGCGCCTCGCCGTAGGCGGCGATGGCCACGCCGAAGGAGATGGAGAGCATGTTGAGCATGGAGGAGGACCTGAAGGTCTCCTTCTTGAAGAGGACGCTGATGGAGTAGACGGCGACTGGCATGAGCGCCTTGAGCATCTGGATGAACGACACGGACAGGTAGATGTAGGCGGAGTTGGAGAACCAGAGCGACATCGCGTAGAGCGCGCCGATGGGGACGACGGAGGAGGTGTAGAGCTGCGGCGTCATGGAGGGCGATGTGGGGAGGTCGACGACGCGGAGGACGCGGACGAGCGCGACGGCGAGGGATGAGCAGAAACCCATGTGCACCATGGTGAGCGAGATGGGGAAGGGCCAGTTGTACATCTTGGGGTCGAGGATGTACTTGTTGTAGACGATGACGGAGAAGGAGAGGAAGATCCACACCGCCACGTAGAAGTAGGAGAGGAGCACCTTCCGGAGCAGCGAGTCAGACATGCCGCCGGCGACGCCGCCACCGCCGTCCCGCCCCATGCCGCCGCCGCTGCCCCTGCCGCCCTGCTGCTGGTCCTCGCGGTGGTGGTGGTGCAGCAGCAGGAGGAGGTGGGGGAGGAGCAGGCGTTGGTGGCGGCGGATCTGGATCCGGAGGTGGGGAGGGCTGTGAAAGCGCGGCGCGAGGGTGGAGGCGGAGGCGGAGGAGGGGCGGATCCGAGTATTTGGGGAAGAGATCGGGATGGGTCGGGGGTTTAGGTGGGGGGAGCGTGGACTGGGCGCGGTGGCCACGTGGACAATCGTCTCGTGTTCGCAACTCGAAAGCATGTTTGGTGGGATATCAATTTCTTTTCATTTTAAAATAGGTAAAAGAGCGATTTAGGGCTTAGTTTACGTTGAAATTTTAATGAGGGCCTTTGACTTGTCTTTCATTTGTTTTCCGAAAAAATGATAAGGTGGATCGGTTGACATCGTACCGCGTGAGCACTATAGGCAGTGCTCCACTGCTCCATATAATTGATTGATCAACTAGAAAATCTGCCGGTCTCGGTTTTGTGAAGAAAAACGTACTCTTTTAACCTAACTTTTACGGTATATAGTTAGATACAATGTCTAGATATATTATAATCCATCTGTTCTAAATTATAAGTCATTTTAATTTTTTAATATATTAACTTTATTACATATCTAGAAGGGAGTAAAGTTTATATATCTAGATTTTTAATAATTTGGAAAGAAGAGAGTTTGTATTTGCATATCTAACGTCCTTGAGCAAGCTATTTCTGCCAAAATCCACCTCATTAATTCGTGGAAATAATAATTAGCAAGAAGAACATTTACAACCACTCTCTAAACGCAAAATCTAATATGCAACCCATCGCGCCAGAGCGTGACCGCGCGACGCGGGTCAGCCCACCGGTCCTCCCCCCCCACCCCACCCGCACCTCGGTATACATAGTTCCTGCAGTTGTAGCTGTTGCAGCCTCCCCAAACGGCTACAATAACTTACAAGTAAAATAATTAGGGCCCAAATACTTATTAGCTGTTTATATCTATATCTGTAGATCTTGAAGAGATTTTTCCCCCATCTTTTACCTCTCACAATGTTTTTTGTCTCTCCTTTATTGTTTAGGATTTGAATTCACAATCCCTGCTTATACATGTTAAAACGTCGATATTTGTATATTCAATAATGACACAAAATCAAATTTCAATATATATCAGAACAGATGATGCTCTATTATATAAATCTTTTAGCAAACAAATCATTTATGGGTAAAGTGTGTATTTCGTTGCGACACTAGTACTAGTAGTAGAATGAAATGCTATAGACATCCCTACCGATCGTCCGGCGATAGTGACGGGCCAGGTCTCCTAAGGATTACACATGCGCCATATCTTCTTGGATCACATACCATGTCGTGTGCGCACAGGTTAGGGGATGTTTGACGTGGGGCACTAAACATTTAAGTGGGTGTCTCATCGGATATCATATGGAGTGTCGCATATGGTGTTTAGATACTAATAAAAAAAATTATACAATCCGTCAGTAACTCACAAAACAAACTTATTAAGCTTCATTAATCTATCATTAGCATATGTTTACTGTAGCACTACGTTGTCAAAGCATGAACTAATTATGCTTAAAAATTCGTCTCGTAAATTAATCTCAATCTATGTATTTAGTTTCGTAATTAATTTATATTTAATACTTCATACATACATTAAATATTTTATGGGACAATGACTAAAGTTTATAAGGTGAGAACAAATAAAAGTCTTGAGGTGGAAACAAAATCCCGTGCATGGTTGGAATTGGTCTGGCCCGCAAGCCCAGTCTGGCAGAAGGAAAACGATGGTCGCGTGTTTAGATATTAATTTGGAAAAAAATAAATTACATTTTATTTGACAATTAGTGTTCAATCATAGACAAACTTATTAAAACGTTTAATTAATTTCTATCGTTAGCACATAGTTTTTTATAGCACTTACATTGTCAAATCATAGACTAATTATGACTTAAAAGCATTTTTTCAGAATTTGGGGTTCAATCTGCCCTATTTAGTTTTGTAACTTTACCTATATTTAATCTCTATACATATGTCCAAATATTTAAATGTACAACGAAAAAAAAAACTTAGCATGAGGTGAAAATAAACAAAAGTTTAGGGGTGGAAACAAAATCCTCTGGATGGTTAGAATTAAAAGCTGGCCCGCAAAATCCAAATTTCTGGACAAAAGGCTAAACGACGCGCTAAAAAAAGAAAAGAAAAGGGTTGCTGATCCGTGGTTGTACAGTGGCAAGCTCTGACCGACAGCGTGTCCTCACAGACGACAGAGTCACAGCAACGGCCAGTCCCGTGACCTTTTGCTTAGGGCTTATTCCAGTGCAACTCTCTTTTTTTAACTGAATTTCGTCTCAAATTTTACGTGCGAATATGGCCTCGTTAAATATAGATAAAAAAAAACTGATTACGAGTTTTTGAAAATAGTATTATTTCGAACATTTTAATTGTTATTTGACAATTAATTGCCAAATCACAATTTAATTATCATAGCCAAAATTCGCCTTGCATCTAATTTCGCCTTAAATTGCTTATTCCAGTGCAACTCTCTCTGATTTTTTTAACTGAATTTCCTCTGTGATTAGTGCGAATATGAATGCCTCGCCTGCCGAATTGCGCTGGCTTGGATGCATCAGACGACTTCTCTGAGACAATGACAGCAACCAGTCGTATCAATAATTGGAGTAAAAAAACCCCCAAGTAGTCGTACTCCGTACTACACAATAAAAAGCTCACCTGAATCTGAATGTACTAGAGTGTTATCCGGATACGGCGCACATACGTACGAAACTGTGTTCGTATATACCAACAACGCCTCTCCGTTGATAGTCACCACGTCGCGCCAGCAGGCCGCAGGCGTCAAGGATGACCCAAAGGCCAAAGCCAAAGGAGACGCACGCACGCGACGACACCGAACGATGAGCATCATCTCATTGGCCTGGATTCCTTCCGTGAAGCCGTCACGCTCCGGCGGGACCATATACCCGGGGAACGGAAAAGAACGCGACGCCTTTGACACGTTCCACGTGCCCGTTCAACTGAACTTATAAGCCGCCTTATCGTATTAAAATCTATGATATTTTTTTCATAATAAAACAATTTCAAATTGAAATCTCGCAGCAAGGCCACAGTCAAGGAATGCACAGGCACCAAGAGGCTTTTGGTTTCTCGGCTAAACTTTGCTATCCGGATGTTTGGCGTATACATACGTATTAAATATGTTCGTATATAACCAAATTGCGCCTCTCCGTTGATAGTCACCACGTCGCGCCAGCAAGCCGCATTAGTCTATGATTTGACAAAGTAGGCCAAAGGAGACGCACGCTAATGCGACGACACCGATTAGAGCATCAATAAATTGGCCTGGATTCCTTCCGTGAAGCCGTCATTCTATAATTTATTTTTACCCGGGGATCCGAAAAGAACGCGACGCCTTTGACACGTTCCACGTCCCGTTTTACCATCCGATAAAAACACTTATAACTCGCGTCGTGCGCCGCCAGATATTCTGGGTGGAAATCGACCCGCCAACACCAACCTGCTCTCACCTACAAGGATAGGCTACAGATCCACGGCGAAGTACAAGCTCCCCGCCCCCACCACACTCCCATACAAAATTAATCATCATATTCCCATTGCCATGCAACAGAATATTTATTACATTCGTCAACCAAAGTGCATAAAAGATCGGGTGTCATTGTGTCCTGAATTGTGTACGTACTGTTAAGATTAATAATTTGTGATTAATTAGTTAATCAATTAGTTATTCCTGTCCTGCTAATGACGGTTTCTATATAGACACATTTTAGATCCCGTAGAGAACTTTTGGCCAATATATGCTGTCCTTAGTTAGGCTTATAATATATATCTGTATATTTTTGTTCATCAATACATTTTTTTAGAGTTCCGAATACCAACTTCACACCCTCGCTGTTCTCCTAAATTTGAAAATCCGAAACCCCACACCTTCCATGAACGCCATGGTTGATTCGATCACCGCGGATATTGGAGTGGCCATCCACCCGGTCACCAAGCAACCATTGCCGCTTCATGCTCCAAGGTGCCGACTCACAGTGTCCCTCCTCGCGCTTTCAAGGTATTCGCCCCACCAGCAGTGGTCCCACCCAACCTGCAGTCACGTCAAAGCGGGCTCCGCCGGCAGCCACCACCGCGTCCTCGTCATGGATGTTGGCGCCGCTCCTCGACTAGAGTCAGAGGAGACTTGTTCCCGTGCCAAGCCCAGAGCCAACGACGGCAGGAGAGGCTAGCCGCTGCGGACGCGGGCGGAAACAGTCGTTACAGTTATCGCCAGAGGCCTAGGGGGAGACGTGCTGTAACACCCCTGTTGTTACGAGTTTACTTAGCACCGAAATTTAGAACCGAAAAGGATTAGCTTAACAAGTTTTTGGTTTTTAAAAATGTATAATGCACGTGAGGCAATTTCTAGGAACAAGGATCAAACATAATTTGTATTTAGTACTTAAATAAAAATTGAAGTACAAGTTTAGTAGATGGAAATGCAACTTTAACTTTTGGAAAATAGATGTTATTAACTAGTGTTTTGGGAACTCAAAAATCAAATTTGACATTAAGATGAGCTCTTTTCGTTAAGTCGGCAAACACCTAAACTATTGTTAAAATATCATTTTTTGACGAATTATATTGGGTAAAATAGTTAAATGGTGCTTAAATATTTTGCTCCTATAGGTTATAATAAGGTATGGACTATTGCATGAAGTATTTGTTAGTTGAAGTTAACAAGGTTTAGATCTATTAAAAATTACGACAAAAGAGTTAAAGGTTACTTAGCCTCAAATAAAATCCTTAACTTTTATGAGGATAGAAAAGTAGTAAGACAATGTTATTTTGATATTTAATTTCTAACAAAAATATTTAAACACTAGCTGTATGTTTTGGTATTGTTGATTGCATCAAAGTGAGTACGCGAGCATGGTGCAGGTCGAAGTTGTGTTGATG